CTTGGCAGCGTGGCGAGAGTAATCATTTTCCTCCAGATGTTAGAGTTTGGGAAGGAACCAAAAGGGAGGTGAGAAAGGGAGGGGAACGCAAGAAAAACCAGCTGCCGCCACTACCAGTTCCACCCCCTCTACATGAAGTCATCTACCCCTCCCTCCCCGAGGCTCCCAATACCTCCTCCACTCCACTCTGCTGCCCCCCACCCTCTCATTCTCAGTTCTACACATTCTGCCTCTCTCTGTATCCCAGGAGGGAGTCAGGGCAGGCTGTGTTTACTGCTGAGGTAATTGGAGTAGTTTGGAAAGAGCCTGACCCTGGCCCTGCTAAGGCCTAAGATATGTGTGTGTGGTTGTCTGTGTACAATCATGTGTGCATATACGCCTGTTTGTGATCACAGGCAGTGAGGCCAGGGAAGGAAAGCAGGCCTTAGCCAGTGTCAACCCACTGGGGAACAGACAAATTGGTTTTCACTATGCTGTCTGTCTTTTCTTGTCTCATATTCTCCAGCCATCCCTTTCTTCTTCCTGCATATCTCGCGCCATCTCTCCACCGACTCAAAGACAATCGTTCACGCTTTCTCTTGTACTTGCTCTGCAGCAGCTTTTCTCTTCCCCCCCCCCCCCCCCCCCCCCCCCCCCCCCTCTCTCTCCTCTCTCCTCTCTCTCTCTCTCTCTCTCCTCTCTCTCTCTCTCCCCCCCCCCCCCCCCCCCCACTGCTCATCATTTCATCTCGCTGAGCTGCATAGATGGTGACTCGTGCCAGATATGAGCAAAAACTCCCCCTCAGTTGCAGCCATATACACAAGCAAATTCATCCAACCAAATCCAGGCGCCTGTTGTGTTTATCTGTAGGTGAGATGGATAGGAAAGGGCCTGAAGTCGGGGTTTCAGGGGGGAGAGTGAGAGAGCAGCCCTGTAAACACTCTGAGAAAGCTGCTCATATATTGCTTATTGTCGTCCACACGCACATATAATATTGAACAAAAGCTCTTTTGTCTGTAACAAATGGCATTAGCTACAGTTTGTATTCATCAACATTGGAGCAAACACTTTGATCAAGAGGCAGGCACAAAAGAGTGAAGCATGGCAGTGATTTAGCATGCATCTAGTAACCTCATCGGAGGGTTGTCAGGTAGTGGCAGTGGGACACGGCTCACCTACTTTAGCTCATCGCACTCTTTCCTCCCTCCTCCTCTTCCCTCCTTCCCTCATCCCTCTGTCTTGCTCCTCCCTGATAGCTTTTACCGCTCTGCTGATTTCACAAATAGGCCTCATTGATTGAATCTGATTCTTGTGGATAGAGCAGCTTTATTGAGTGGCTTTTTTGCTGATGGACAGGAGTGTGGTGTGTGTGTGTGTGTGTGTGTGTGTTAAGCGCATGCATGCTTGCATGTTAGGGATGATAAAGGAAAACTTCCTTTCCTCATCCCCCTTATTCTGTAATCCAGCAGCTATTCCTCTCTCGGGAATTCCAGCAGCCAGATCATTACAGAGACATGCAACATGCTCACACACACACACCACACAGTCCTGGTGACGGCTCGTCTGAGTGAATGTTTTATTATGGGCGTGCATGCTGACTGAGGAGTCTGTTAATTGTGGCGACACCTTGAGCAAGGCAACATTAAAGTGTTAACTGCTCTCCCTGGCGCTGTTCATCAGACATTCATCTAAGCAGTGCTTCTGTGGCAGGAAGCTGGCCCAGTGCACCCAAGGCACCACGATTTAAGTCGATCCAACGCCACTCCAGCTGTGTCACCACCATTATCTTTTGGTTTTGCAGCTCCTGTCTGCAGCCATTTTGGATCTGCCGTCTTTATTGTATTGTGTAGCTCAACCAGCCAACATTTCCCAAACACCCACAGAGTACTACGGAGAACAAAAACGATAGTAGTAGAGAGTAGACAGTAGACAGTAGAGAAATGTTGCAGCAGGGAATTTGTATTTTGATGGGGGAAAATTAGCTTGTTTCAGATGTTAAACAGAAATGATCTGTCGGGGTTTGGGGGCTTTAGCTAACAAACTGTGTTAGTGAGAAGATGGAGCTATATCAGCAGCACTCCTCTGGGGATACACACATTTCACACACAGCAGCGCACACCTCATCCTAGCAGCAGCATCTGCGCTCTTCCCCTCGCTCTGCCCTCTATTTTGTCTCTCTCCTCTCTACAGGCAGTCTGCCACCTATGCGGTTGGATGGATGGTGGCACCCTCTTGCCCCGTGCTCGTTTAACCCCCACAACCCTGCAGATCCATCATCATACGACACACAAACACAAACAGCCCAGACACACCATATCCCAGCATGTAATTGTCCTGAGCAACAGCAGCATGCTGCCAAGCAGCATGTACTATTTCGTACATACAATCACATCTTGTGAGAGACCCAACAACTCTATTCTCTAATCTCATTATTTTGTCTGAAATGTAAAAGGTTAGTCTTGTCACAAAGTATTTAAGTGTAGCCACAAAGGCACCAACAATCTGTGGTTCTCTGCGCTTGATTTGAGAGAAAAGACTAAGTAGGCATATAAATTATTGTTGGGAGACAGCAGACCTGTGTGTTGGGGAAAGCTTGCGACAAATATGGTTTCAGTAGAGTGGATAGTGTTTATACAGCTCTCCATACAGTGACAATAAAGGAAGGCAAAGAGAAGTGTTTGCCTTTTAACATTGTCACAAATATCTTGTATTTTGAAAGTATACAGAACCACATGTAATACCCTACTTGATTTGCATCTGGTGAAGTTATGTTCTTATTTTGTACAGGCCTTTTTCTCTTTCATTCATCTCATTTCTGTATTTTGTCAGCTTGGCACTCTTCCAAAGAACCACTGACACAGCTTATGGGGAGACGGACAAAAAAAGGAAAAAACAGCTGTTTTGATTCGTGAAAAGCAGCAAAGCAGACTTGTGTTTTACCTATTTTCTTTTTTTTTTTTTTTTTTTGTACAAGGGTTGTATAGGTCAAGATCTGATTTAATTTGTGATGTAATAAGTAAAGAGCAACACAGGGAGAGGTAACGGCACTCTTTTAGGGGTGATAGGCAGCTATTTCAGGGCTTGTTCATTCATGTGTACAAGTGTTTGCTTAGAGATTGCAGCATCTAATTAGTAGTGATTTTGGCTCTCCATTGAGGAGTGTATACCTGCCCATATTAGCCATGCCTGCCATTGACCTGGGTCATGTTCAATTAGCCTAGCCTGGTTATCATGTTGTTACTGCATGTCAAATGGCTCTTTTTCCTAAACTCCAAGGCTTTTAGTGAGGGAACAAAATAGGGCTGGGCAATAAAGAGCAACTTAGGTGTTTGTGTGTATGTTTGTAGCAAAATTCTAGAAAAATAAATGCACAGTTTTTAATTCATGTGTTAAGTTTGGATAACTGCTTGTGGGTTGGTTTGATATAAAATATAGGTTCACATTTGTACATTACCATGCTATTTTGAACAGAATTTATTAATAATTAGATGGTAATTGGTTAAATCCATTTGTTGAGTATTATCATTTTGATATCAGGCCGCAATAAAATTGTGCATAGGACTGACTAGTGTTTGCTTTACTAGCCTTTTGTTTGTCTTTGTAGGGAAAAGTGTTGTAGCTTGGAAAAATGTCAGCGTCATTTTTGACTTCCCCATTAAAAGAAAAGCGAGACAGAGCACAGTGGAGGTAGCGAAGGAGAGAATGCAGTAGAGAGAATTTCTTTGCTTCGTTAATTGGCATCTCTGTGGTACACTAAACATTGCGCGCGCACACACAGCTGAATACTGTGACTGCTCTGAAGCCACTGCCTTATATTTAGTCAAGGGAGACCAGCCTCTGTCACTTTCTCTTTTGCTTAACCTCGCTCTTTCTCTTCCTCTCTCTGTGGCTGTGCTGAAGAGGAGTCTCAGGGGAGGGCTTAACTCTGAGCCCTCATTCTTTTTTCCTTATTTCTCTCTCCTCTTGTACGTCTCTTTCCTCATTGTCCTCCAACTAGAGCGGCAGACTGTTGTTAAACTTAGTCCAAGAGTCAGACTCTGCGCAGAGGTAGGATAGAGAAACGGAGGAGGTTCTATATCGGCCTTCTTGGTTTTATTACTGCGACCACTAATAGGCTGGCCTGTCTTATTCTGTGTGCACATGATGCGTTTACATGCAGAATTCTTAGAGCCAACTTCCTTTGTGTTTGTGAGTTGAAATGATGAGTGAGCAAACATCACAATAGTACGTTTTAGCAGCAAAGGGCATGAAATCAATAGCTCACTTAAGGTGGAAGGAGGTCAGCAAAGCTTCACATTCCTGTCTTTGCACCCTTCAGTTTGGAGAGTAATTCACATAAGGCCCCACTTAAATTATGATGTACAACCTGGAAAATCACAGGGGCTTTTGTGTTGTCACGGTTATTGAGTGTTCGGTAGCTTCCAGGGAAATGGAGTTTGGGAGGGGGGGGGGGGGCGGTTGCAGAAAAGAAAGGGGGAGGAATGGGTGCGAGTGGGGGGAGGGGTGCTATCTTAATTGCTTTCCGTGAATAATTTCAGTCCCCTAATTTGGCGATAATGACAGTGGCTGCGGCTTTTGTATTTATTTATCCAAACATTAATTGACAGGACTGACATTAGCCAGGGCGGTTATTGCACATTTGATTGTGCACAAGGGAGCAAAGAAAATTACAGTAATTATCATTCTGATATGGATTATGCATATGTATTCCCACACTTAATGTCTCTGTCAGCATTTTAGTAACAACAAGGCACTCTGCCATGACAACAGCACTTTAGCTTATCTCCATCTCTGTTTGCCTAAACCCAGTCCAACCGGTGCTTGTGGAGAACAGATGACATGTAGTGTCTAAATGATTTAGCTGCCCTACTGTAGCTTTTTAACAACACCCGGGCATGTAGTTAGGTGAAATGGTCGTCATGTGGATTGTTTCAATTGGCCTGTAAAGGGGCCTCAGCTTGTGTGGAATTAGTGTGCGGCGTGTTATTGGGAATGGGCATTAACGTCTCTGTTTTTCACAGGCGGAGGGAGAAGACAATTTGAAGAAGATGCAGCTGATGGAGCTAGCTATTCTCAATGGGACATACAGAGACAACAACATCAAAACACGTGAGTGTTATCACCTATCAAGTGAGCTGCCACGAACACACACACACATATCCACAGTTTAGTTTTGCTGTATTTCTCATTAACTAATACTGTTTTCCTTCAATAAAGTTATGTGTAGTCAGACCTCCTGTGTACACATTATCATATTATGTTTGACCCACTATCAGACATCTCTCTCAAGCTCTCCAAACAATTCATGTTTACCTACCCAACCACGAGTAGGAATACTTCCATTCTGTTCTACTTTGTATATCTTTCTTCTTCATCCATTCCTTCACCCACCCCCCACCCCCAATCCAGATGTGATCGCTCTGTATCACTTGCTTTTGGCGACTCTAAACTTTCAGCATATTTTTGTATTCCACTTGCTCAACTCTGCATGTCGGTCACTAGCTCACACGTCTACAGTGTTTGCTCCCAAATCACCAAATGGCATTTCTGAATGCATAATCACATATATGATTTGTAATTTAGCCCCAAAAATGTAGCTTATATATACATATATAATACATGTGCATTTTACTCACTGGACCCATGGTTATGTTTTTAATTAAAATGTAATTTAGACATGACCATAAACTGGGTTCTTCTATATACTTGGGCTGAAATTTATGAAATGAAATGTGATTAATTTCACTGTGTAATTTTCTTTATTTAACCTCTGCTCAAATGGTAGCCAACTGGCCCACCGCCTAACCATAGTTACCATACCGCTTGATTCAGTTGACATGCCTTTGGGGAAGCTTGTGTGGCACAGCTCATAGCACATGCTGATGCAGAACCATATAAAAATGATTTTGTCTATTCATTTGTACATTATCCAACCTAAATGGACTGCTGACAGTGTGGAGGGTCATAATTTTTTTAAGTTGCTAACCACTTAAGGGGAGCACTTTCCCACTGATCTCCAAAATTCCTGATCCGTCTTCTGTGAAACCTGCCCTTCATTGAGTGTCTCTCCTCCACATATAGTGAACAGCTCCATTTCTGTTGCCGTGTGTGTTGTATACCTCACCTGTGCCATTTCCAGTAGATGAATGTGTAGCTGCTGTGGTGATTTGTACGCTTTGAATGCATTGGGGTGACAGCAGCATTCTGTGCTTCTTGTGTTTTGGTGTGAGGGGTTATTTTTTGTTTTGTTTGGCTATGTTGACTTTTCCTTTGCAACAGATTGTGCCTTTTGTGGTTCACCACCATTGATCATTGCATGGACTAATTTTCCCTTTTGCCCCCCCCCCCCCCCCCCCCCCCCCGACCTGCCACTTCCCATTCCCTCTTTTTTCCCTCCTTTTGTATTTTCACCCTTCACTGTTCATCTGTGATTATGATCAACCACACGACACTTTATCTTTTGTCCTCTTCCTTTCTTTCTACTCCTGTCCTTCGCTCTCTTGCTTATGGCAGCCACCCTTGCATTCTCTCTTGCAGCGGCGGCAGCAGCCGCTCAGGGCCCCCGTCTCATAGCGGCCCCCACGGGTCAGGTGTTGCCTCCCCAGGCACTCCGGCCCCCAACACCAGCTGGGGCCCCCATCATGAACCTCATCCGGCCCACTCAGATGGCTGCCATGCTGCCCAATGGCACCCCCACCCTGGTGCCTCCCACACCGGATGGCGGGCTTATCTACACCTCCCCATATGACTACCCTTACGCCCTGGCACCCACCTCCCTGCTGGAGTACCCCATCGAGCACAGTGGGGTTCTAGGTAAGAGAGCCTGGGGATGCATGGGTGCAGCAGGTACAGCGGCCAACTTTAGCCAGCCTGGACATGAGGGCAGCTTGTTTTACCCCGGAGGGGTGCTGGACGCGGCTTCCATGAGCCACAGTCAGGACTTGTTGAAAGGTAAATATGTCGTGTCCACCTGAGGATCAAAAACAGACAAACTCACAGAGTGGATGTGCTGGTGAAGCTCGTGGTAATAGGATGACCAGCTTTGTGGCTCATATGGACACTGTATTAAAATGGAAAAAGGGGGCAGAAATTACCTTGTGAGGGCTAGGCTCTTGGAAAGTTTTCTTTATAATTTCGGCTAAGGTTACTTCACTGTTTTAGTTACGCTCTCGCCCAAACAGTTATGCTCTCAGGTTTGCCTCTTTTCTGCAAGGTTTATATAGGAGGACTTGCCTCAGTGTGAAATGAGGCATGCTGACAGAACACGCTCACATACACGCAGCCTGCTCTCTAACCCTTTCATGCACTGGCCTGGAGGCATATTCAGTCTGGCGGCAGATCCCCTCGGATTTCTGCAGCTTTTGAAATCATTTCTCTGTGCTGTTCTCTGCAGGCAGGCCTTGATGCCTGTAGTCCCTCTCTCACTCCCACTGGGGATGTTCATTAAATTCCTCCAGTCTTCCCTTTTTTCTTCTCCTTCCCCTCTCCCCATTGTCTTAGCTTCACCCCTCTTGAACTTAAGCTCTGTGCTAATACCTGACGTTCCCCTTAGTTTCTGTGTCAGGAGTACAGTTCAAAATGAAGGTCTATATATAATATTCATTCTCAGTAGTGCTTTAAGCTCAACACATCTGCTACCAAAGAGACAACTGAACATCTACTGATGAAAGAGTCTGATATGAAGACCATATGTTGTATTGAGGCTGTAGTTAACAAAAGCAAAGCTGCTTCCCACTTCAAGACAGAAGAGGCCTTTATGAATTGCTTTCCAGCTATAATTTGGCACAGTACTCCTTTAACATTGTCCTCTGCATCATCTGGCAGCGGCAGACACAAGTGTGATTTTAGCTGACCTGTGTTTTTGAGGCGCCTCTGGGAGTCATGTGTAGAACAGACAGGGGTAGCTGACTGGCTTTTCTCTCTTTAACTTGCAGGGTTACACCAGCTTAGTGCATTTTATTTACTCACACTATCGATTGGTGCCTTCAGCAACACAGGGCCCTGTGGAACACACTCTTCACACTCTCACACACTCATGCACTTGGCTCAGCTGCCCGCGCTACTGTATCTGGCCACCACTGGCTTCTCTTAGAATAAGGAAATGTCAGGCCATTTGCTGCTTCAGAGTAGCGTAGGTGTCTGTGTAGTCAAAAGGCAAAACTCGCTTTTAACTTGACAAGGAACAGAATCCTTGTTGAATTTTAAAACTTACTTCACATGTCCCCTCTTCCTCTGGGAGGGCTTTCTTTCTCTTAATTCCGGCATGCATTTCATTTTTGTAATACTTGCACAGCAGCTTGTTTGCGTCATGTATCCGAGGCAGTATCCAGTAATGTGGTAGGAAGAAATCAGTTGTTACAAAAATAGGAGGAGAATGACAGCCTATGCCGGCAGTGAACAGATTGACCTGGAGAGAGATGGTGAAAGAGAAAATGAAAGAGAGGGAGAGAGGCAGGTGGTGTCTGGCACTATTCAATTACCATCAGAGCTGTATTAGATTTCCTCACCTTTCAAAATAAAGAGACAAATTTCTCTCAATCCCCCTCTGGATCCCAGAGGAAGAATCACATTATTTTTACAGACAGCCCAGGAGTCTGTACCCCTTACCTGCCCCCCTTTTTAAAGAGTCCTCCATATAACTCTTGAGCACTGTGGAATTTTATTACTTAAGTTATGCATTTTTTACATACCAAGTTAAAATTCCAAATAGATGTATTATTTTTGTCTACTGCATTTTTCTACACGTAAAAAAAGAAGATATGTGTGGTGTGTGTGTATATGTACTATAATCTGTATTATGTTGCTATTCTGTGTATTGTATTATCTAAGCATTATAATGATAACAGTTAAAAATGTGAATGTTATTACTGTAAAAGATGACTGTTTTTCCCCTGCTCAAAGTGAATGGTTTCTAACCTTGTGGACCTGTTACAATCTAGGTGCAATGGCTACTAAAGTGAGACGGCATGACACGCGGGTCCATCCTTACCAAAGGATTGTGACCGCTGACAGAGGTCAGTTTAGTCTCTTAGCTACACTCTGCTATTGACTGATGAATTTCAATGATTATTATGCCTCGATGCCTTAGTTGAGAATTTGTATATTGTCTTATTGTATTTTTTGTTTTCCTTTCCCCCCACCACCTTTCCTACCCCATACATCCACACACCAGCTAAATGGTTGCTTGTGGTATGCACATTTTGTTTACATTTAGTACTTAACATATGCAGTATGTGTCGACTGTGTATATGTCAAAGCTCAGGCGAAAGTGATCTTAACAGCTTTTGGTTCATGCAGCTGTGAAGCCAGGACAGGTAGTACTTTTGGAGGCAGTGTTGAAGGTGTACAGTGACATTCCTCTGATGTGAGATTAGAGCCTAAAATGGGGCAGGCTTGTTCCCATACATGATTTATCTCCTCGGCTCATAAGGAGCAAAGAAAATGGAGAAGCATTTCTATACTGTATCTGAGGGACCTAGCAGGGAGAAGACAAGTAGCCATGCTGCTACCAGGCACCATTTCACCTTTAAATTTAAATTCATTTTGCATTTTATTTTTCTATAGAAGATAGACACGCACAGACATAAGCTGAGGTAGCTTGCATTTTCTCCAGTGTATTGCGAACAGATTGAAATAAAGCTAAAATACATTTTTAATATTTCAGTTGTACATGAGGTACTGTCATTTTATATTTGAGCATTTTATATCAAATGTATTTATGGTTCTTGTGTATATTTATATTATATAAAAATATACTGCTAAATAAAGAGAAAGAATCGGAAAACATCGATTCATCTATTTATTGCACATTTACCACTAGTCACAGTTATCGCTCACATAACATTAGTTATTGTAAGTCTCCTTATCACTAATCACAGTGTTTGTAACTTGCACTCCAACTTGACACACACTAAAACACTAGATTTTTTTCTTATTTTGTTTGTCTGTTCGGCCTCTCTTTGCTTCTGTTTTGTGGTTTTGGGGGCAATGTGCGCTTAAATTAAACCACCAAGCTACCTGATTCAGGGTGGCTGCTTAGTAGTTGGGATCATGACGTGACAACGTCATGATTATAATGAGATTAGCTGGTTTCAATCATCTCACATTGGCAGGGGACTTAAAAGCAGGGGGCGACATAAGAGATTGCATTCATTTTATTGTTAAAATGATGTCATTCCAGTCTCTTCTTGCTGACACTAATATCCTTTCTATCTTTTTTTTCTGTTTGTTTTGTTTTTGTTTCTAACCACCTAGCCGCCACCGGCAACTAACACATGACCTTCTGACCTCTGAACTCTTCACCCAATGACGAGCCGCCCCAAGCCTGCCTGCTGATCAGTTAACTGGTAATTGCCTTTTGCTAGCCTCTCGGACGCAAGTGAGAGAGAGAGAGAGAGAGAGAGAGAGGCGCCTGCCCGTACAGTTACCCTAACACGTTCTGACAAAAAATAGAAACCAACGCAGAATCTTCACAGAAACACAACAAAACCCAACAAAGTTGTGTAATATTCATTTTTCCCTCTGTTCATTGAGTTCAATTCCCATTCTTTCTCTTTCTTTTTCTTCATGAATCATATACTGGGTGGATGCGTTTGTGGTATTACTCATAAATCTGCACTGAATTATATAGCAATAAAGACCCCCACCCCAACCTGCCCACACCACCCCTCCTTTAATTGCTCTAATTTGGTGACCTCACTTGTATGAATTGAAGCTGAATATCTATTTGACGCAAACCATTTGGTTTCAGAGTAATGACATAACCCCCCCCCAAAGGTTGCCCTTACCTGCTCCCTTCCCGTTCCAAGCCCCACCTATTGGGAGAGAAAAAGAAATGGAAGGAAAGAGAACATACACTCACATTAACTTGTTTTATTTCTGTCATTTTTCACATGTAGTGCAGTTGTTGAGCTCTAAGATGTAATTATGAGCTGACACATTCTGGGTGTGCACCTCCAAACAGCTTTCTGTCTGTTTTTTAAAAAAAAAGCATGGCTGAAATGATTGCAAAAGAAGCTTTTAATGATTTATGTGTTTTTCTTCTGTCTTGGTTTTTTTTTTTTTTTGGCTTTACTTTAGAGTCATTTTCTCCACTTGATTTTGGTTTTGCTGTTTGTTCATATTTGACTAATTAGCTTTGCTTAAATTGGCTAGCTAAAAAAGGCAGGTGGTTAACTCTGGAAAACAAAACGCAATCTGATGTTTGAAGCAGGCTGCAGAAAGTAAGAAATGATGAAGGGCAAGATGGGGGGGGGGGTCACTTTTTGGGGGGGGTGGGGTGTGTGTGTGTGTGTGTGTGTGTGTGTGTGTGTGTGTGCGTGCGTGCGCGCGTGCGTGTGTTTTTAATTAATACTACAATGAAAGTAGGGTGTGCTGAGGCTTCGGGGACATTGGAGCAGTGCTTATTAGCTACTGACCACTGCTACGCCCCCATCCACACTACATCCATTATACAGTGCCTGATGTATTTAGAAAAATATCTCAATGAGTTAACTGAGCTGTGATTAAAAAGACAAAAAAAAAAAGTATTAAGTGTGCATATTTAGCCAAAGGGTTTTTCAATGAATTATATATCTGCAATTATGCATCTGTCTCACAGAGGGCTCTCTTTGTGATTTTACAGTTTGGAAAGGTGTGAATTTGTGGTGCCTGCCTTCAGTTGGAACAGCAAGCCAGTCAGTTAGATGATTTTTGACCCATTATATTGTTTTTGAGGAGGCGAACGCAGGCAATTAACACTAAATCAACATGCTACTCAATTAAAGTACATCGCTAGAGGGAAGGGCACTTTGAAGTTCTGTACATAAATGCTTTTGTCATGATACCTGGCTTCAGTATTCAGTTGTTTCATCAGCCACATTGCCAAAAGAGCTTTTATTTTGTTTATTTTTCATTTTTGCATCTCAACATTTGGCAATTATTAATCATTTACAATTATTTTTAAGTGTGGTGTTTTTTTTGTTTTTTTTAACCCCAGTTAAAATCACTTGGGACATAGGTGGGCCCCTGTGCAAATAAAAAAAAAAAAAACATGTCTCAGTTAGAATTATTTTAGTGATGAAACATTCATTTTTGACACATGACACACCATCCAAAAGCGCATCCACAATGTGTCACACCTCCCTGTGGTCATAGTTTAACTCCTGAGCCCACAATCTTTTGTTCGACTCTCTCAAGAAAAAATAGGATGTGAAAGCCATGCCTGCCTGTTCAAATTGCTTTATACATAAGTCTTTTATTATATATATATATATATATATATATATATATATATATATATATATATATATATATATATATATTAAAAATGTAGATATCTGTCATTGCATATACAAATACAGAAGAGAACAAAAAATAGATAATTTTACAGGGTGCTGGAGAAGAGGAAAAAATAGAAAATCTATTTTTGGCAATTTTAGCTTTTGATACTTTACTTGCAGTTACAAAATCAGAAAAACTAACTTAAAAAAAAGTTTAAAACAGTATAGGGGGGAAAACTGAGTGGGTGAGGGAAAAGTGCTGTTACCTTGGATATGATTGCAAAGGAAGACGAAGACCAAAACAGTCGTAACCCTTAAAGTCAGCGAGGATCAGAGCAAGACAGACAACTAGAGAGTTTTTTAAAAAAATGATCAAAGTGCCTTATCAACAGTGGTTTCTGTTTTCTGAGTATTCCAGTTGTGTTCAATAATATCCAGCACCCACCAAGATGGCGCAGAGAGGAATGGCTAGTGTTACATGCTCTGAATAGTTGAGCAGGGTAGCTCCCACCATATCGGGGCGTTACCAAAGTTATTCTATGCAAAAAGAATAGCAGTCGTTTTGACCAGCTAAAATATGTGCCATGGTTTTGTCTTCCTGAAATTCTTTTTTTCTCTTTTTCCTTGACTTGATGGCCCTTTACTCTGCTGTATGTTGCAGGTTTTGTTCTTTTTTTTTTTTTTTAGATTTTAATGATCATATGAAATATTGTCTTGATTTTTGGTGACTGTGACTAACTTCCTAGAACAAATTGAACTGCCAATAGCAATGCAGTAGTCTGCCAGAACATGTGTTGATCATGAGCTGAGAAAAATACATCACATTCAAGGGAACAGATATGAAAGGGGAGGGCCCCCCCTACCCCCTTTGTTATTAAGCCCGTTTGTTTCAACAGCTGCAAACTGAAAGCAATCTAGTCCATGTCTTGCAATGTCAATTTGCCAACAAACTATCAATACAATCACGTGATTTATAAATGAAATGCTGGATAATGAAACAAGCAACTCCATTTCACAGCCAAATAGTTTTCAGTTATTGAAACAACCAACAGTTTATTGCTAGAAGGTGAAATAAACTCGTAATATTAAATTGAGGAACTCTTAGATCCCAATATTACCCTTGGCAGTTTGTTTTTCTATTCATAGCTCTTTTCATCATGCTGTTACACCGAAAGGTCAATGAATTTTTCTTTTTTCAGTGTTATTTTAAATTGAAATGCAATATTAAAGAGGAGCAAGAGATGGCTATTCAGCATTTGACAGTATTAAGAAAATTCCTTCTGCAATGTTACAACATGCTGTGTCATTGTGAAAGGCTGGATAAGTCATCAGGTGAAAGGTTAACTCTATACCTACCGTATTCTCTCTGGCCTGCCTACTACATGTATGATAATGTAATTAACAGCCATTGTTACAGGTTTATAATGTATTTTTCTAATCTCATTTTATATGTATATTAATCATGTTTCTGAGTGCTTTTTTTATTTTATGAAACCCACTGCAACTCCCCCTCCTCCCTCCCCAAAACAGCCCTGTTCCTCCCCCCTTCTCTTTTACATCTTGAAAACTGTCTCTTGTGGGGAGTGTTGCCTTTTCCCTGTTATATTTTGTTTTCTTGCCAATTCCCAGCTTGTTTAACTCATTAGCTACTTTATTAGTTTTCTTGTCATACGTATTTTTACATGCTTGCATTTAGTTTTCATGGTGTATGCTGTTATTTTTCTTATTAACCTCTTGGCATTTATTTTAATAAAACATTCTTAGTAAGAATTTTACTAACTTGCTGATATTTTTGTCTTGTGTTTTTAACCAGATTCATGAATGTATTACCTTGGTCTGGTTCACGGACTAACACGATTAAAACTGGTGTCTGGCCGCCACTCTCACTGACTGACTGGACATGCACACTACACAAACGCGCACACACAAAACACTAGTCAACTGTGCACATATGCTCTATATGCAATTACTCAACACACATGCGCACACACAACCTAACTGGAAACTGCACGAGTTGATACGCGTCGCCCTCACTCCCGCTCACGCACTCTCACCTCTGTGCTGGACAAATCTGCTGACACTCTTCATACTTGCCCTCCCCACTCAGTTCCAACACCGCTGCTGTGTCTCGTCGCCTCTGTTAGAGACAACTCTCTTGTTAGCTGTCCTGTCCTTCTGTGTCACTGACCCTCATGAGACAGGAAGTGTCGCAGCGTGTGTGTGTGGGGTGGGGTGGGGGGATAAACTGCACGTTGTTTGAGGACACTGGTTAACTTCTGGGTGAGCTGTTCCCTCTTGAACAAAGCACACTCTTGATTAAAAGGGTAATTTGTGTGTACACAATGGCTAAAACCTAATCCCTTAAGATAAAACTCTTCGTTTTCCGCATGTCGTCTCAAACCATTAGTTAGTGCAGGATAATCTGTGCAAAAATACTGCCCGTTGGTCATCTCAAAAGGATTAATTTTACTGTGAATTATGTAGAGCAGGACATCTCATCAGCACACATGCAACAAGCAAATTCATAGATGACAGTTGTGTGATAGTCTAAAGCTGTCCTTTTTTTCTCCCCCTTCTCCATTGCTTCCATGGCTTGTTATGCTTGGATAGCAGCATTACAGTTATCACCAGCTGTTGTCTGTTTGGTGAACACTTCTCCCCGTTTGGCTTATTGATATAACTGCTAATACTGGGCAATAATGCTTAGACACACACCAGTAAACCATGCCAATATAAAGTACTTTTGGGATCAAAACAACCTTACTATTCCTTCCAGTGTAAATTGCTGATATCCCTTTCAGCTAGCTAGTATTTATTGTTTTTTGGGGGAAGTATTTTTATTTTATTTTTTTTGTCTGAAACACTGCCAGTGTGTGTTGTTCATTCTACTACTTGTGTCAGTGCACTCATCACCGGGTTCATTCAGCTCTCTTCTCTCTATTCAGCTTTCTTCCTCCTCCACTAATTCAAGGTATCCACACTGACACACAAGCAAAAGATTAACTTCATTAACCCAGATTATTACTTTAACCCACTGAGTGATGCCTCCACATTTATTTCTTCTTTTATTTCTTCTTCTTTTTTTATTTTTTTTTAAATCTGCACAACAAAAACAACTTGGCCTTAAACTGCTACAGTTGTCTTCGTGTCTCAAAGAACAAGGATTAAAAGTGTCTAACATCAAACTTAACATTTCTCTTCTCTGGAATTAACATTTTGTCTTTGATCTGAAAACAGGTGTTTTCGCCTATAACACCTGCTTGTACACCAGCAAGTAGAGACAGAGATTGGATTACTGGCAGCCAGTCCAAATTGTTTTCCCTCTTTTACACATTTGGTATTATGAGCCATAAGCTTATTTATTGATGGTAGGATCAGTCTTTTAATATTCTCGATTGGCTTCTTTGTGCCATAATGAGCAACTTGAGCTAAAATCCGTCCATTAGCAGAGATTTTTATGCTGTCACAAACCTTTTCCTTTTGATATGTCGGAGAGGTTGTCCATGGCTCGTCTCAACCACCAGACTGATGGGGGAAAAAAAAAACATCAAGTGTCATGTTATTTTTTCCAGAGCACAACATGTATTATAAACACTGCCTAAACTTTTGCATCTGTGAGTTAGAGTGCCTTTTGTCCCCTGAGATTGGAAAATTTGATATTTTTGTACTGTATCTTGCCAAAAGCGTTTTTCTTTTTGGGCACAAAAAACAAAATGTCCACGCTTTTTTTGTACATACTTTATTTAAAATAGAAACTGGGAAAGTTTGACAACAAATTGGGACTTTGATCACAGGCGTTTCCCACCTGTTTTGAATTTGATGAAGTGAGATTTTTATATTCCTGACTGGACCACAGTAAGCGGTAAACGTCTGCGTTCTGCTGCCATCTCTGGCCGAGTTCTCAGTGCCTTTCCAAATCT